CTTTTGTTTGAAATTCATGGGACTGCATCAATCCCGAACAGTTGCAATGAATTTTAGGAAATGTTTTTATGGTCAAGGGTTTACGTACATCTGGTACATTCAATCGTTCAAGCATAAACAGACTCCACGCGTTCGTGCCAGTAAAAGTTTGGTCATTAAAGCGTCAAACAATGAGCGCATTGGCAATGCGAAATAAATAGCATGACTAATTTACGGGTTTACGGTTTATAACTAATGAACCAATCCTTATGTTATTTTTTGGGTGGTGCCACTTGGAATTTGATTGTTGTCGTTGAAGATATTGTATGTACCATTGGGTCCAGAATTGTTGGAGACGTTGTTGAATGAATCACCATCGGGGCAAGCCTGACATTGACAATCCTTCAAAAGATGGTTCTGGTATTGTTGTGAGTGGATTTACAATCAGAAAATGTCTTGGTGTTAATGCGGAATAATCATCTGGATCGTCGCTTAATGCCTCTAATAGCCTTGAATTTAGAATAGCCTCAATCTGGTACAATAATGTCGTCATTTCTTCAAACGTGAGCAGTTTGTCCCCAATTGTTCGCCGTAGATGGAACTTTGTGAACTTTACTACGGCTTCCCATTTTCCTCCCATGTGAGGTGTAGCTGGTGGATTGAATTCCCATCGAGTACTGTCTTGCGAGAGTATGGTTGCAATTTGATGATTTTCCTTGGGGCTTCTGGAAAATAACCTTCTTAATTCTTTGTTCGCTCCTGCAAAGGTTGTAGCACAATCTGAATACAACGTGTGGGGGATGCCTCGGCGAGATGTGAATTGCCGAACGGTGGCTATGAAACCTTCCGTGGTGTAATCGCTGACAGCTTCAAGATGGACAGCCGATGTAGCAAAACATACAAAACGCAAATCCATGCTTTCTGAGTTTTGGCGCCTCTGCCCTTCCAGGTTTTTAGAGTTATGGGACCAGCATAGTCAACCCCAGTGCTTGAGAATGGTCTTGATGGCGTTACTCGAGACAGCGGTAGTTGGCCCATCGTTGGGCGAGGATTCCCCTCTGTCGTTCGCTTATACTGCATCAGAGAATGTGAGATTTTACAGCTTGTCGTCCTCCTAGAATCTATTACTGCTGTCGTGTATAAGTCAAGGTGAGTTGAGTGCCTCCATGAAGTGTTCTGAGGTGGAAATGAGCTATTGATAATGAGCTATTGATGTAAGCTAATGATGATTTCATTAATCTTCATCCAACTCTAATGACTCCTTGAGAGTGAATGAATGCTGTCAGGCGTTGAAGGGCATGTGATTGTGGTAAGCTCAAGTTTGATTCCAGTGATTTAACTTCTTCGGAGAAGTAGGTAGCTTCTGTTGCCTTTATCCAAAATAGTCGTAAACTTTCCAGACTTTCTTGGATTGTAAGATTTATAGGCGACGATTCATGTTTTTTTTTGTATGAGCAATAAATCTAATACATGCCGCAGTAACTCTCAACAGTGTAGGTAGCTTAGAATATTTATATACAAGGTCCCATTGATAGTCTGGTTGCTGTATAGTCGCTGCAAGAGAAATTCCAGGGCGTACTTCTTGCTCTGATTGTTTATGGCTTTCTGTGGGCTGCTCTGGCTATGAGTCTGGGTTATACAGCCATGGGGGTTCTGTCCACCAGAGAGGGTGTTCTTTTAATTGATTGGCCTTTAATCCTCTTGATGCGCAGTCTGCAGGGTTTGATTTTCCGGGGACTTAATTCCATTGATAATTTGATGTGGTTTCTTGAATTAGTATCACGTGGTTTCTTACAAAGTCCTTCCAGCGCGATGCATGGGACTTTATCCAGGTGAGAGTTACCCTTGAATCCGTCCACAAGTATGTCGCGGTTGTCTTCATGTTTAGTGTGTTCTTGACGTACAGGATAAGCCTTGATAGTAATAATGCCGCTGCTAGCTCCAATTGGAGAATGGAAAGTCGCTTTAATGAAGCTACTTTGGTTTTAGAACATATCAGGATGGTTTTTGTATTTGTGCAAGCGTTGTGGGCGGTAAGATAGATGACTGCGGCCATGGCTAGTTGAGAAGCATCAGAGAAGCCATGAAGTTCGACGGTGGACCCGCTCTTTGTGTTTAGCCATCTTGGTATAGTGATTTTGTTCAATTTTGATAGATCCCGTTTTATGGCACGCCAATGGATTGATAATTGTTGAGGTATGGGATCATCCCATTTAATTTTATGTAACCATAGTTCTTGAAGGAGCATCTTTGCTTTAATCACCACCAGTGATACAAAACTTAAAGGATCGAATATTTTTGCAATGTCGGATAATATTGAGCGTTTGGAGAACCTGTCGATGTTCAATGATAATGTTGTTGCGAAGGTGAATTGATCCTCTTGTGAGTTCCATCGCAATCCCAGGATTTTTGATGTATCGTAGTTGCATAAAACGTGGTCTACTTGATTTCGATCTGCGTTGATAGCAGTGATGTCATCTCCATGGCTTGAATGCTATTTAGCTAACGGAAAGACGCCCGCCTTACAGAGATTCTGCAGTTGCAGTGCGGTTTCAATAAGTTCTTGTGATGTATCCGCACCTCCGAAGATATCATCCACGTATCTTCCGTGGGTGATGCAAGGCAGTGCGAGAAGGTACTTCTCTCCCTCGTCTTCCACTAATTGTAACAGTGTCCTGAATGCTAAAAATGGTGCGGCTCTTATGCCATTTTGTTCATTTATCCATAACATTCGTTGCAAGTCCCAATCGTCTCTATGGACCCTTATCTGCCTGTACATCTTGGTGATATCTGTTGAAAAAAAT